GCCGTACAGCAGGGAGACACTCCCCTACAGGCAAAATGAATACCCTGATATTTATACACTTCTCTAAGAAGGGGAAGGGAAAAAGAACGCATACACATCCTTATTCATATGATGATGCAGGCATACCTAAATAAGCAATACTTCTCAAGTTACTTTCTGCCCCTCTTCTACCTACTATCTTCAAGGAAAACAACAGTGTCACAGAGGAAGAAACAAATTAGTTCAAGGTGCCAAATGCCAGGAAGATGGTGTCCTCCTTCAAGACAGATGCCTTGGTATTGGGGAAGTTTGTGATAAGGCTTTTAACAACCAGCCTGGTTCCCACCAGCTTCAAGGGTGCTGCACAGTCCTTTATATTTCAATTTTATTAAGGCGATCCCATTCATCTGAAGCCTCTAAAAACTTGCTTCTTTCACCCAAAGTTGTATTTTCCTCTACGTTTTGCCAGCAACTTTTCCTAAATGTTTGTGCATTATTTTCTCCAGTATTTGCATTTTTGTTTGTTCTTAGATATATAGAGAATTGCATTACAACATTAGGAAAAGTGCATTATCAGCATTAACTGCATTTCACTTTATGTATAGATTTATAGATGTAGATGTATACAAGTATAGAAATCTGAACTGAACTTGATTCTACGTTTCTCTAACATGTGGATACTTTTAATTATACAGTATATTATAGTTACTGATTTAAACTCCCCATCTGCCTTATTATACACATGGTTTTGGAGTCAGAGTTTCACTGAAACAATGCACTACCACTAGAGACTTTCCTTTTGGGACTGATGGATAAACAATTGGAAAAAGCTCATGGACCTTTGTTTTTTTATATGATAACTGCAGCTAAACTTTTATATGCTCAAAGGTGGAAAGACTTGACATTACCTACAGTGGAAGAATGGATGGTGAAGATGATGGAGTTAGGAATGGATGGTGAAGATGATGGAGTTAGGATGGATAAACAATTGGAAAAAGCTCATGGACCTTTGTTTTTTTATATGATAACTGCAGCTAAACTTTTATATGCTCAAAGGTGGAAAGACTTGACATTACCTACAGTGGAAGAATGGATGGTGAAGATGATGGAGTTAGCTGAGATGGCAAAATTGACAGCTTTACTTAGAGAAAAAACATTGACTAACTTTAATGCCAATTAAATTGGACTTTTTGTAGGAGACAGAAAAAAATGAAATTATGATATATGGATTTGATGGTTAGTTAAATTAATAGGTTATACAAAATATGTATGTTAAGATGCAGTTTTAGAGTAAGAGGTTATTATATGATTTATCTACATCTGCTATATAAGAAGTCAGAAGTTACCATATTTATTGGTGTATAACATGCATTTTTTCCCCTAAAATTCGGGGCTGAAATCCTAGCTGCGTGTTATACACTGATATGCCCTGCGGCTTCTCACCTCAAGCGGCAGGGGTGGGGGGGGAAAGCGCCGGTGGGCGGGCGGGCGT